GCCGCGCCGCCCCGGGCCGGGCCATGGCGTTCCTGGCCGGGCCGCGCCTCCTGGACTGGGCCAGCTCGCCGCCACACCTGCAGTTCAACAAGTTCGTGCTGACCGGCTACCGGCCCGCCAGCAGCGGCTCGGGCTGTCTGCGCAGCCTCTTCTACCTGCACAACGAACTGGGCAACATCTACACGCACGGTGAGCCGCTCCCCGCACCCCAACGCCCGCCCGCCGCCGCTCCGCCCGCGCAGGGCCGGGCACCAGAAGGCCGAGGAGCGCCAGCACCCACGGCCTGGGTCACCCGGACCCTGGCACGGCCAGGAGCCACGGTGACAATGCTGCTATTGTCCCTGACAGCGCTGCCCGCTTCCGCTTCCTCTGCGGCGGGGGAGAGGAGGGAAGCAAGTGGGGAAGCTGCTAATCCCTCGAGCCCCTGGGAGAAGGCGCCTGGTGTCTGACCCATTCATAATCGCCCTGGGGTGAGGTGACTTGGGCGAGCAGGGGCCGGAGAGGCCAGGCCTAGCGGTGCCCCAGCGGGTCTCCGCCTGGTGGCTCTCCTTCCCCCTTCCCGGCCTGCCGGAGCCAGCCCCTCCTCCCTGCCCGGCCTCCTCCCTGGCCAGGCTGTGCTCTGCTGACACAGCCCTGCCCGCCCTGCCCGCCCTTGAGCTGCCCCAGCCAGGAGAGGGGCCCTGAGCCGACTGGGCCCAGGCTGGGTCCTGCCTCCCTCGCTCGCAGGCAGGCGTCGCCTGGCTCCCCTCTGCCTTCGGGGCGAGGGGGGCGTCTCGACTCCCACAGCCACTGTGAGTTCCAGCAAGCGACTGGGCCTGGGCAGCCTCCTCAGAGGCACCAGAGGAAGCCTGGACACCGTCCTGCCCTGGCCCGTGCCCCCTCCAGCCTAGGGAGCCTGGGGCATGCCACCTCATGCTGAGGCCGACCGTACTGTCTCACTCCGGCAGGGCTGGCCCTGCTGGGCTTCCTGGTGCTGCTGCCGATGACCATGCCCTGGGGTCAGCTGGGCAAGGATGGCTGGTTGGGGGGCACACACTGTGTGGCCTGCCTGGCACCCCCTGCAGGCTCTGTGCTCTACCACCTCTTCATGTGCCACCAGGGGGGCAGCCCCGTCTACACCCGTCTTCTGGCCCTGGATATGTGTGGGGTCTGCCTCGTCAACACCCTGGGTGAGCGGAAGGACGGAGTGGGGGGTGGCAAGGCGGGAGCGGGGGTAGGGCCGGGGCCCAGACTGACGTGCCCACCTGCTCTCTTCCTGTGTAGGGGCCCTGCCCATCATCCACTGCACCCTGGCCTGCAGGCCCTGGCTGCGCCCAGCTGCCCTGGTGGGCTACACCGCACTGTCAGGCGTGGCCGGCTGGCGGGCCCTCACCGCCCCCTCCACGGGTGCCCGGCTGCGTGCCTTCGGGTGGCAGGCCGGCGCCCGCCTGCTGGTGTTTGGAGCCCGGGGGGTGGGGCTGGGCTCTGGGGCCCCGGGCTCCCTGCCCTGCTACCTGCGCATGGACGCACTGGCCCTGCTCGGGGGGCTGGTGAACGTGGCCCGCCTGCCCGAGCGCTGGAGACCTGGTCGCTTCGACTACTGGGGCAACTCACACCAGATCATGCACCTGCTCAGCGTGGGCTCCATCCTGCAGCTGCACGCCGGCGTCGTGCCTGACCTGCTCTGGGCGGCCCGCCACGCCTGCCCCCCGGACTGAGCCGCGGCCGCCCTGCCCACCGCCCGCCCGCCCACGGCCGTCGCCATCAAGCGTCCCTCCTGCTGCTGGTCCGCAAGAGTGTGACTTCCTCAGGTTGCCCTGCCGGGACCCTTTGTCCAGCCCTGCCGCCCGGTGGCCAGCCTCCTCTACCCCTGCTCCCTCCAGAGCGCTGACTGGCCGGAAGGAAGTCTGCCCTCCTGTGGGCCTCAGCTGACCCTCTGCGACTGTGACGGCTGGAGCTGAGGGACGCTGGGGTCCTTCCTTGAGCTGACCTTTGGACTTCTGCCAGCAAAGGCCATCAGCTCCCTTCCTCAGACCCTCAGGTGCGGCACCTGGCCGCCTGGCCCAGCCTCGCTCCGTGCTTCCTGCCACCTCCCCGCCCCGCCAGATGCCAGCCCGTCTGGAGGCTGTGGCGTGAGGGGCTTAGCCCAGGCAGGAGGGCAGCAGCTGCTGCTTCCTCCAGGCGACCTCCAAGACAGCCGAGTCGCCTGGCCCAGGCCCTCCACCGCGAGTGCTGCCCGCGCTGACTGCTGGACCTGACCGCCGGGCCGCGCCTGCTCAGGAAGCCTCCACACGGCGCCTGGCTCCCAGCTCCAGTCCGGCCGGCGGGAGCCCGCAGCAGGGCTCGGCCTCGGCCCTGGCCCTGGCGACGTCAATAAAGGAGCAGGAAGTGCTGTGTTGTCACAGAAGCAAGCTTGGGTGCTCCCAAGATCCAAACAGCTTTATTAGAGACGGCCACTCCGAGGGGCCTGGCGTTCCGGGGACCCCAGCCTCCAGGCGGAGGGGGCTAAGCGGTTAAAAGCACCGAGGCCGGTGCGGCTCAGGTTGGGCCCAGTGAGTCCTCAAACAGACTGAGGAGGTTCCGAGGCTCAAAGGAGGGGAAGGTGCCCCGAGGCGGCTCAGAGTCAATGTCACTGAGGTCCAGGGGATCCCTGCGGGGGCGGGAAGAGAGGTGACCCTCAGGACCCGCAAGGGACCCCCTCCCGCCTCCAGGGCCCACTCACCTCGTGGTGTGCCTGCTCCGGGGCGTGGAGGTGCTCCCAGCAGACCTGGCCAGGATGACCTCCGGGGAGAGCGAGGGTCTGGCAGGGGGCGAGAAAAGTGGGTTTTGTGGAGGCCCAAGGCCACGGTGGGGATGGGTGGGGGCGGCAAGCCCAGCCCCGCCCCGACGCGGGCAGGGGCTGAGGACTAATAACACAGTGGGTGGGAGGAAGCATCCCCGCATTCACCCCCACACCCAGCGCCTGGGCCTCCTGGCCGAGGACATGCGGCCAGGGAGGCTGCTCTGGCCCGCGTGCCAGCTCCCCTCGCACGGTGGCGTCGTGGAGGCAGCGGCTAGACAGCTCCCGGCAGCTGTCCCCACCTGGCCACAGGCGAGGGGCTAAGGTGCCCCTCCCAGGGCTGGGGCCCCTTGGCCCTCTGCCCCCCACCCCAGGGGGACAATGTGTGGCCCATGGGCATGTGCAGCCTCTACTGGGGGGTGGACAGTAGGGTCACTATCTTGGGCTGCCCCATCAGCCCCATGCTCCTCCCGGGGCCAAGGTGGCAGGAGGGGGTCCCGTCCCCGGGCACCACCATCCCGCCCGCCCGCCCAGCTGTCCACCCCACCCACCCAGTGCTGTCGCCGTCCCAGTTACT